CATACACAGTCACGCCAGGGATGGAGCCCCAGTCCCTGTGTTTGCCTCAGTGAGGGCTTTAATCAGCTGAGCTATCTAGCCAGCCCTCTTTCTTTCTTTCTTTCTTTCTTTCTTTCTTTCTTTCTTTCTTTCTTTCTTTCTTTAGACATTACCACTATGTATCTCAGGCTGGCCTTGAACTTCTTGCAGTGATCCACATGCCTCAGCTTCCCAAGTGCTGAGTTTAAAGGCAGGCACCTGGGTAGACACTGGGAATCCATTGATGAGTAAGGCGAAGTTTTGCCCTTCACAGAAATTCCTACTGAGCAGGAATTGGAAATAATGGACCCCAATGATAATGGCTCCCATGTTCCCCACCCTCCACTTCCTACCCTCCCTGCTTTCTGATTCCTCAGGGGCTGAGGGCTGAGGCCTATGGTGCACGGAGGCCCTCTTCCTCCCAGGCCTGCTCCCTCTACTGGGACGGGGTGGAGCTGCACTTCAGGGGTTTAGCTCAAGTTGCACCTGACCCTCCCCCATACCCCCAAACCCCATCATATTTAACCAGCAACAAAGCTAGAGATATCTGCTCAGAAACCCTGAAACATGAACAGGCCTGGCTAGGAGCTCGAGGCCATGGTTGGGCTCAGAAGGGCCTCCCTTGGGACCCAGAAGAGGGCCAAGTGGCTGCGCGTCTGTATACAGAACTGGCACCTGGGCAGGATGTGCTCAAGGCCACCTGGATGAGTGCTGGGCCTGCTTTCTGTTTGACACCTGTGTGGGGAGAGGGTTTGAGCTCCCTGTGCCCTTGTGTTAGCCTCTGTGAGGCCCCATAGTGACATGCCAGGGGACCTCAAGGAAGCCCTTCCTTCTCCCTGGGATGATGTCTCCACATGTCTGATGACAGAGGGTGCATGGGCAGTCTTCCCAGGCCCTGTCCACTCCAGACTATCCCAGCTCCTGGGCCCCTCCCTCCTCTGTCTTCCACCCAGGGTCTGGGGAAGGGCTCCGAGTGCCAAAGCTGAGCAAATAAACCCGTGCAGGTCCACTGGAACAGCACCAGGGAGGGCACTGCTATTTTTATCCCACTTGAAGGATTTTCACAGCTGCTTCACATGTGTCCCCATATTTCCCTGGGCCTGGACTAGCACAATGGCAGATGTCCCTGAGGGTTGCTGGAGGGGTGGGCTCCTCAGCAGAAACCACACAGTCATATGCCCATCTACACTTCGAGGCCTCCAAGCACCACCTGGAGGCAGCCCCACTGGAGAGCTGTGTGAGGGCGCCGGCACCTGTGTGAGGCTGCCCGGGTTCTGGGGCAGCCTGAGCAGCAGGTTCCAGGCTCACCTTGCTCCCTAGGGATGGCACAGTGCTCATAACATGCTGGGCCTGGCCTGGGAGGCTGCTGCCCACAGCCAGCAAACAAGGGCTGAGCGCTTTCTGCAAACCAATGGGACAAAACACCAGGTGCTGTGCTCACTGCCTCACAGCGACATCTCAGATGCAGCTCCTCCTCCAAAACACACTTCCCTCTCAGGTGCCACCTCTAGTCCCAAAAGCTGAGCCCCCACCTCCTCCTGTGGGGCCTGCGTGACTGAAGTGGGTCCAGCTGGTCTTCTCTTCACTCCCTCATCCCTACCCTACTGCTCAAGCCCAGCCTCAAGAGGAAATGTGTTGTTTGTTTGTTTGTTTGTTTGTTTTAGTTTAATCATTTGACACAGGCCCTTGCTATGTGGGATCCTCCTGCTTCAGCCTCCTGATTGATGGGATTACAGGCATGTGCTACCACAACTGGCCTAAGGAAGAAGGATTTTCTAAATACACAGGGAATCCAGGTCTTTCTCTTTGTCACCCCCCACAAACCCATGCCTTGGTCCTTATGCATTGAATAAATTCCCAACTCCTCAGTCCTCTGATCTGCAATGATGTGCTCTATATTTCTCTCTCTCTCTCTCTCTCTCTCTCTCTCTCTCTCTCTCTCTCTCTCTCTCTCTCTCTCCCCCCCCCCTGTGTCTTGGTCTCTTTTTCTGCCTCTGTCTCTGTCGCTCTCTGAATTTCAGAGAGAAGAAACAGAAGAACACTGATCATAATCCTCAGTCCTCTCATCAGTGATACATGAAAAAACAACATTGTCTCCATGTTGGCTGAGCCTGACCCTATTTCCATGTATTGCTATGTGTAGAGCTGGCTAGGACTTTTCCTTATTCCTTTAATTGGCTTTGGGCAGCGCATACAGATCTAGCCAAGGTGCCGGTGATAGTCTTTGAGGTTGACAGGCACGTTTCCCTGGTAACCCCTCCCTGTTTCTCTTTAATGTGAGCCGGGTTGATGTGGGAGGAGGAACCAATGCTCCATGTTATTGGCTGAGATTGAGCCTTGAGATAGAGGCTATGACTTCGGGGGGCTTGAAAGGTTACACATTAGAACTGAAGCACTGGGGGCTGGTGAGATGGCTCAGTGGTCTAAAGCAACTATTTGGAACAAGCTTGGCAAAGCACAGGACCGCGGTTCAATCCCCCAGCACCACATGCCAGCCAGTCCCGCCCCCTGGTGGGCTGAGCTGCCCCCCCATAAATAAATAAATTAATTAATTAAAAAAAAAACATGGGCTGGTGAGATGGCTCAGTGGTCTAAAGCACCTACTTAGAACAAGCTTAGCAAAGCACAGGGCCCACGGTTCAATCCCCCAGCACCACATGCCAGCCAGCCCCACCCCGTGGTGGGCTGAGCTGGCCACACACACACACACACACACACACACTAAAAATGTTAAAATAAAAAAAAAAAAAGAACTGAAGCACTGGACCCCAAAACATTAGATACTATCTGAACTGTGCAATGCAGATTATTCCCTACATATCCTTCTCTTTACATGTAGCAGAGGTAAATGCAGGCCTCCTGCCTAGCTCAGCTCACAACAACAATCTCCTTCCTGCCATTCTCAGTCATTCATCCTCAAGCCACTCCTCCTTCATGACTGAATAAAACCTGGGTTAGGTCCTGGGTCAAGGCCTTTGTTCCAGATAGCCATCACCAAGGCTGGACTTAGGACCCTTTGGCTCCCCATAACTATAAAGATGGTTTAGTGTCTTTAGTCTCACTGTGGGTTGCTCTGGAAATGGTGGATTGGAATTAACTTGACAGAATTCCAATAAGTAACCCATGGGATTACAAATATAAACTTCCTGGTCTGAGATGGGGACCAGAAAGGGCTCTGTACACATCATAGACTGGTCTTGGGTCACTTTTATTTAGGAAGAGGTAGAGACATTTTAAGTAACACACTTCGCACCTCCCTCACCACATCTGACATGATAGGTCTGAAAGACAATGGATGCTAAAGAGCCATGCTTTACGCTGTGTAATTCTGTTTGAATGTAAGACTCTGGAAAAGGTAAAACTAATGACAGAGAGCAGAGCTGGTTGTGCGGAGGAAGAGGCGAAGGCACTGAAAGTATTCTGTGTTGTTGTAACAGTAGTGGTTGCTGTGATTGGCTTCTTTCCACTGATGATTAATATTCTACAGGAGTGGAGCCGGAGAGCTAGCTCAGTGGCTTAAGTGCTTGCCTGGCAAGGACAAGGTCCTGAGGTTGATCCCTGGTACCACCAAAAAAAGAAAAAGGCTGTCAGGACAGCACAGGATAAAATGGTACACTCATCATCAAGTGTGAGCTCTCTGTGTCGTGGGGACCGAGGATGGACAGAGTGAACGTGTTCATGCCCACCCACCGTACGATATGGGGGCTTTACACACGGTGAGCATTTCCCATGCAACTGCGGCCACATGAGACTTCAACTGCAGGGCTGCATCTCCGGCCCACATTGGCCTCGCTCTTTTTTGTTTTTTTGCCTTTCTGAGACAGGGTCTCTCTGTGCAGTTCAGGCTGGCCTTGAGCTCACTTGCAGCCTAGGCTGGTCTCAAACTCACAACAATCCTCTTGCCTCATCCTCCTGATTATTGGGATAATAGGTGTGACCCACCACATCCAGGTTTGACCTCCCTGTTCTTTTTTTTTTTTTTTTTTTTTCCAGAACCGGGGATTGAACTCAGGCTCTTGCACTTACCAGGGAAGCTTTTATTCCACTGAGCCATCTCCCCGGCCCCCGACCTCCCTGTTCTTGAGGGAGCCAGGTCCATTCAGTTTCAGACCTTGGCATATCCACACTGAGGACTACACCCAGAGGGCTTTGCAGCCAGCTCCTCCGTGCTCTGGCTATTTTTTTGTTTTGTTTTGTTTTGTTTTGTTTTGTTTTGTTTTGTTGTGGAACCAGGGATTGAACTCAGGCCCTTGCGTTTGCCAGGGAAGCACTTATTCCACCGAGCCATCTCCCCGGCCCCCCTGCTCTGGCTATTACTTACCCATCCAGACTCAGTCAAGTGCTCCCCTCTGCCCAATTCACTTTCTGGGGCTCCCAGCTACAAGGGTTGCTCCCACCCCTACCCAACCATCCGTGTTTCCTTCTCTGCAGCATCTGTCCACACCAAGATTTGAAACAGCCTTCCTTGAGCCAAGCCCAAGGAAAACAGGTACCAAGTCCAGCCCCTGGCTGTGCCCCAGCAAAGTACCCAGGGTAGGTAGAGAGAGTGCTTAGTAAAATTATGGTCACTGAAGTAGATGATAGGAATCACACACAGCACACCAGAAACCCAAACCTCAGAGAGGTTAATCTACCTGTTCAAGTCAAGAGCTTGGACTTGGCAAGAGGCAGAATTTGAATCCAGGCCTGGGCAGCCTCAAGGCCCATGATCTTTTATAAACACTCTGACTGATTCTGACGCAAACCTTCTTCCTTTTTTCCTGTTATCAGATGGCTACTCAATGCCACCTGCACAGTCACCTGGTCCTTCCATTGGCTGTTCTTCCTCCATCTGCAGAGGGAGGCACCATGGCCTTGGGCTCTGGGGGACCTGGTATTGCATCACCTGTTCTGGGAATGGAGCCCAGCCTGGGCCCTCCCTCTGCCCCCTGCCCTATATTAGAGCCCCTGGTTCTGGGTCGCTTCCCATCCTCTCAAAGCTCATGATGCTGTGGCTGCTGAGTTCCCTTCTCCTTGTGGCCCTTGGTAAGACCCCAGCCTGGGCCTGGGTTCCCTGTGCTGTACAGGCCAAGGCCGCGGACGCCTCTGCCACCTGCCCTGGGTCCCACAGCACCCAACACCTGCTTCCACACGCGGAGTCTCCTTCTATTCCTGGGCATGATTGTGGCGGTGCAGCAGGAGCGGGGTGCTGGACAAGCTTTGGTGGAGGCCTTCAGGGAAAGGCAGGGAGCACCCCAGGGCCGCCCCCTCCTGGGTCCCTGAGCCCCTCTCAAGGTTAAGACTTCCTGCTCTGTGCTTGGAGCCTCGGGTTGGAATTTCCACCACAGCTCTCCCATCACACTGGCACCTCCGGCTCCATAGCTGGTGCCTGGCCTTTTGCTTCTCTCTCTGCTGTCTTCCATTTGGCTCATGGCCGCCTCGTCCTAGTGGCCTTGCCTGATGAACAGAGACAGTGACACTTGCTCAGCGCAGCCTGTAGGCCAGGTGGGATGCTGCCAGCAGGTCTTAGATGAACTCATTTCATTCTCATCACAGCCCCACAAAGCCGGTACAATTATTATCCCGGTTTCCCAGAGAGGGAAACTGATCCTCAGACCTGGAAAGCAGGTGTCCTGACACAAGAAGCAGGCTGCTGCCTCTCAGCCCAGGCAGTGGCACTTCAGAGCGCTCACTCTTTCTGATATTGGCTTCCACTTTGGAGGGCTCAGGGCCCTCCAGGCACTGTCAGCTGAAGGAGGCCCTGGGTCCTGGGACTTAGGAAAGCCCTGCCTGGGAATGCATCAGCAAATACTCCTTCCTCGGTGGTACTGCAGAGCAGAGGGTGATAGGAGCTGGCCCAGGGCCACACAGGCAGCTTGTGGCGCAGTTGGGCCTGGTGGCCTGGCCTGCTTCCTCCTTCTAGAGCCTGGCTGAAGGTCACCCCACTGTCTCCTCTAGCCTCAGGCGGCCGCCACCCCTCCCACGGCCCCTCTGGCCGCGTGGTCAATGGTGAGGATGCTGTTCCCTACAGCTGGCCATGGCAGGTAAGAGCTGGACCAGGTGCTCGCTGCCCTCCACAGCCCTGGCCCCAACGTCTGATCCCCCAGACGGGTCGTGCTTCCTTTCCATATTGCTCTTCTGCTTTGCCCATGCAGCCTGCACCCCAGCTGGCTGTTGGCCTTGCAGAAACGGAGTCTGTGGAGAGGGTAGACTTCTGGGGCTAGTACAGTAATGGTGGACTTCCAGGAGAAAGATAGAGGGTACTCACATCTGGACTACTCAATTTGTACATCAGCGCGCTAAGATCTGAGAACTTTTTTTTGACTACAAGGTCATTCATTCATTAGACCTAAGATGCATTTTCCAAACATGGAAATATTCACAGATATACTCATACAACGAGACACTTTTTTTTTTTTTTTTCAGAACCGGGGATTGAACTTAGGCCCTTGCACTTGCCAGAGAAGCGCTTATTCTACTGAGCCATCTCCCTGGCCCTTACCCGTACAACGAGAGACGTCATTGCCATAAAAAATCTGGGTTCATCTTCCTGAATTTTTTTATTTTTTTATATTTATTTTTTATTGAGAAATAAATATGAATGAGACAGTTTCACAGCTGATTAATAGGACAGTTTTGATAGTCAATGCACTGTACATTGTTATCTTCTTAGTGGTTATCCATAGTACAAGAAGCAGACAGGATATTCTGTCCAAACACTGTTAGTACACCTCTTTCTTCTCTTTGAATTAAGCGAAAGTAGCTGTAAATTTATCCTAACTATTTTGTATATATAAATACAAAATAAGATCTGAGAACTTGAAAGATTAGAGTTGGTTGATTGGTTTTGTTTGCATTTTAGTACTGCTAAGGAATGAACCCCGGACCTAGGGCACACCTGGCCAGTGTTCCACAGCTGAGCTATCTACTTGTACATCTCTAAAACTTCTTTTAAAAGGTTTCATTTAGGGCTGGCCAGATAGCTCAGTGGACTAAAGCACCTGCTTGGGCAGAGCGCAGCGGCCGTGGTCAGATCCTGGAGTGCTGTGCCTGCCTTGACCCCAGGGCGCACTGAGACAGCGACTGCGACTGGGTCTGGTGGTGTAAGCCTGTCATCCCAATGCTTGGGAGGCTGAAAACAGGAGAATCACTATTAGATTGGTGTATGTAGTGAGACCCTGTACACCCTATACACCCTATCCTAAATACATTTTTTTTTTTTTTTGGTGGAACCGGAGATTGAACTCAGGCCCTTGCACTTGCCAAGGAAGCACTATATGCCACTGAGCCATCTCCCCGGCCCCTAAATACATTTTTAAAAAGTTTCATTTAATTAATTTCTTCTTTATTTTTGTTTTTGTGAGACAGGGTCTCTCAATATAGTTCAACTTGGCCTTGAATTCACTATTTAATGCAAGCTTCCTTCGAATTTGAGGCAGTCAGATTCCTGAGTAATGGGGTTATAGACCATAACACCCAGCATAATATTTTGAAATTTTTTTGTGTGTGTGAGTGTGTGTGTGGTACTGGTGATCGAACTCAGGACCCTGCCCTTTGCCAGGCAGGTGTTTATTCTACTGAGCTATCTCCCCAGCCCTGAAAATAATTTTTTTTTACTTATTTATTTTTGCGGAACCAGAGATTGAACTCAGGCCCTTGCGCTTGCCAAAGAAGCACTTATTCCACTGAGCTATCTCCCCGGCTGAAAATAATTTTTGAAACAGGCTCTCGCTAAATTTCCCAAGCACGCCTAGAATTTGCCATCTTCCTGCCTGAGCCTCAGGGTTCCTAGTGGTTGGCATGGGCTGGGGAAATGGCTCAGTAAGATAAGTGCTTGATTGGCAAACGCAAGGATCTGAGTTCAATCCCCGGTTCCGCCAAAAAAAAAAAAAAAAGACCCATCCTAGTGGCTGGCATTACAGGCATATACCCATTGGCTGAGGCACTTTGCTGGGCACACTGATAGATGCACAGAGAGCTTGACGTGTTGTCCCATCACACGCTGCACCCTAGCTGCAGTGGCTGTTTAAAGGAAGTAAAGTTAAAACTCCAATATTCACTGCTAGTTGCATTCAAATACTCAAGCGCCACATGAGGGGAGTGGCCACATGAGGCAGCAGAGATCTAGGACATATCCATGGCAACCAAAGATCTTCCTGGTGAGGATGCATGCCCGCCCTGTGAGGACCACAAGGTAAACACTAGAGGCTTTTACCTGCCATGTGGTATCAGTAGCCAGGACTTATTCCACCACCACTTCATCCTCAAAGTAGCCGTGGCGTGGGGACAGGAATGAGCCTGCATCCACTACAAAAACTCTTCATTAGAAGCCTAACAATCTAGCGAGACACTATCTCAAGATTTCAATCAAGGGTCTAGGATGATTCTCAGTGCAAAGGCCCTGGGTTCAATCCCTAGCATAGGAAGGAATAAAAACAAAACAGAAACATTAACCGTGACCCAGAGGTGGGCCACATGAGGAGTCTGCCAACCCTTGGTTTAGAGGGAGCTTTTTTTTTTTTTTTTTTTTTTAATTTTAGGGAAGGGTCTACAGGTGTTCAGGGTCTCACTGCTAGATCGGACTCCTAGTGATTCTTCTGTTTACCTCCTCCCAAGTGCTGGGATTAAAGGTGTGCACCACCACGCCCAGTCTCACCCAGTCTCAATTGCCATCTCAGCGAGCCCTGGGGGCAGGGCTGGCACAGCAGTCCTTGGAATTGAACCCTTCCCCCTTCCCCCTCTACTCTCCCCCCTTCTCCCCCTTCCCCGCTGCCACTGCACCTGCTTGCAGGCCCCTTAATCCATTGAGCTATTTGGCTGGCCTTAGAGGGAGCTTTTAGAAATGAAATGCATGAACAAGAAGAGAGACAAGCGGAGCTGGTGAGATGGCTCAGTGGTCTAAAGCACCTACTTGGAACAAGCTTGGCAAAGCAGAGGGACTGCGGTTCAATCCCCCAGCACCACATGCCAGCCAGCCCCGCTCCCTGGTGGGCTGAGCTGGCCACACACACACACACACACACACACACACACAAATAAATAAATGTTAAAAAAAAAACTATGAAAAAAATTAAAAAAATTTAAAAAAAAAGAGAGACAAGCACTCAGGATGGGTTGTGCTTCTTGAGGTCCGGAGGCCTTTGAACAACTGTGGCCCAGAAGAGTGGGAGAGCCAGACAGAGACCCTGAGTGTTCTCAGAGGAGGGCTGGGGACCCGCTAGAGGGAAGAGTGCTTGGTCCCCAGAGAGGTCATAGAGTGTAGAGTGGGGAGGTTGTGGTGACTCAGAATGTATCCCAGTAGGAAGAGACGGAGCCACCAGGAGCAGTTAAGCAGGCTGCGCGCTGCACATTTCAGAGGGAGCCGTTCTTTTCCATGGCAACAGAACTCTCTAGAGTTGTACAGTGCAGAATGGAGAGACATGGCTGACAAGTCTTACTGTGCAGCCCAGGATACTCAGGCCCTTTTCTCCTTGGCCACCAGGTCTCCTTGCAGTATGAGAAGGACGGGGCCTTCCACCACACCTGTGGCGGCAGCCTCATTGCCCCCAATTGGGTCCTGACTGCAGGCCACTGCATCTCGTGAGTTCTGTCAGCTGCCCCTGGGCTCTCCCAGCTCTTGTCCCTGTGAGAACAGGGAGGCTGGGCAGTGGGGGATGTGGGAGAGGAGAGAGGAGGGCCACAGGCCTGGACTCACCTGTCCTCCACCTGCAGGACATCTCGAACCTACCAGGTGGTGCTGGGCGAGTATGACCGGAGTGTGAAGGAGGGGCCTGAGCAGGTGATCCCCATCAACGCTGGCGACCTCTTCGTACACAAGGGATGGAATAGCAACTGTGTGTCCTGTGGGTGAGTGGAATCCTAGACCAGACCCCCAGGGCTCCTCCACTTGTGCCTCCATGGCCCCAGTGATGCCAGACCCCAGAATATGCCCACCAAGGCTTGAGCCACCAGAGCCTTTAAGGGGTATGGACTCCTGAACCCTCTCCATATAGTCAGGGCAGCAGGGCCCTTGAGGGGCAGATATTACTCCAAACCCAGGATGGCTCTGGCCTTTACCCTCCTATAAATCCAAGATTCTCCCTTGTGACAGATGTGAATGAAGCCTGGGCCTTCTGGCTCAGAACTGTGGGCAAGAGAAGGAGCACTGGCCTGAGAGCCCACTCTTCCAGTGACCTCTCTGGGGTAGCTACTGTGCCCTTTGTCACAGGGTGACCATGAAGCAGGGCTCCAGGGGGGCCATGAAGCTCATGGTGTCTGTCATAAACCCTCCAGTGTGTCTGGGTGGTGCAATTTCTCTGGTGTTCTAGACAGTAGAGGAGGTTCAGACCTGCAAGGGCAGCGTAGGTGTGAGCAGCCGTGAGGAGCGAGACCCCGGCCCATCTGAGCCTCCTAGGATGAGCAGAGGGACAACTTGGGCCCCAGTGAAGTGACTTGCGTGACCAGCAGGCACGTGAAGGCAAGAGTTCTGTTTCTCAAAGTGTGGCCATGCGACACCAGCATCCAAGCAACCTGGGGAACCCTTAGAAATACGGATTTCTGGCTTCTCCCAGACCCACGGCCTTGGCGAGGCTGAGCGGCCGCCCAGCCATTGCTGTGTCCTGGGCTCTCCAGTGGTTCTCACTCAGGGGACCATGTGCACTGGGAAGAATTCTAGATTAAGAAGGCCAAGGGTGGAAGTGGGCGGGAGTCGGGGATGGGGATTCTCATACCACTTGCCCTAGGCAGGTATTCAGGGCCATGCCTGCTGTCCCAGCCTCAAAGGAGGCTGGGGCAGGAGGACTGAAGTTTGAGCCTAGCCTGGGCAACTTAGCAATTTTGTGAGATCCTGTCTCAAAAGAAAAAGAACTGTGAAAAGAAAAGGTCTTTGAATACAGTTCAGAGTCAAGACCATGGTTTCAGCCCCCAGTGTCAGAAAAAGAAAAGGTCTTCAATGTTCATGTTGTGGAGTCCAACCCCCATTATCCTGATCTGAGCCCAGGATGTGGGGACTGGCTGGGTAGAAACCCAGGCTCTGTGTGACTCTTCTCCTCCCCAGCAATGACATCGCCCTGGTCAAGCTGTCACGCAGTGCTGAGCTGGGGGACACTGTCCAGCTGGCCCAGCTCCCTCCCGCTGGTGAAATCCTGCCCAATGAAGCGCCCTGCTACATCAGTGGCTGGGGCCGCCTGTACAGTAAGTACAGACCTGTGTCTAGTGGCCACAGTGACAGAGACACAAAGCTAATACTGGGCTGAGGGTGGAAGGCCACATCAGGTCTGGTATTTGGTAAATAAGCCCTGCAGAAACATGCTTTCCCCCTGTACCCAGGGTTCTCTATATCTCCCACTGGAGAGCTCCTGGCCTGGTTCCCCACTCACTGTTCTCTGTCCCCACAGCCAATGGGCCTCTCCCAGACAAGCTGCAGCAGGCCCTGCTGCCCGTGGTGGATTATGATCACTGCTCCAAGTGGGACTGGTGGGGCTTCACTGTGAAGAAATCAATGGTGTGCGCTGGCGGGGACATACAGTCTGGCTGCAATGTGAGTTCGCCCCGCACAGCCCCTGCTAGCCTCCTTTAGCCCCAGGACAGGCAGTACCTGGAGAAGTCAGCATGCTTTCTGGGTCTGGTAGACAGGATCCGGATTCAAGGTCCTGCTCAGAGGCAGCCCTCACTGGGACATGTCACTGTCCTGCCCTATGCCTCAGGGGTCTCCTCTGTAACAAGGGACACTACCCTCTGCCCTCCAAGTCACATCAGCTCCAAGGTTCTGAAGCTATAATTATACATCCCATGGCCAGGCCTGTAATCCTAGCACCCAGGAGGCTAAGCAGGAGAATTGCCAAGAGCTGAAAGGCAGCCTGAGCTACATAGTAAGTTCAGGGCCAGCCTGAAATACACATGGAGACCCTATCTCAAACAAACAAACACACAAAAACCCTTCAGAGGGTTCAGGTTGTAGCTCAGTGGTACAGCACTTGTCTGCCACTGGGGTTTAAGCCTAAGCATTGCAGCGAGGAAGGAAGGAAGGGAGGGAGGGAGGAAGGAAGGAAGGAAGGAAGGAAGGAAGGAAGGAAGAAAAAAAAGCAAGACAAGAAGGAAAAAATAAAAGGAAGGAAAGAAAGAGGAAGGAAAGAAGCAAGGAGAGTTCACAATATGCTCTTTGAACTATGAGTATGAACAATGATGTTGGTAGTCACCGGTGGCACCAGGAACGGGAGCCGCCATTTCTGAGTGCCTCCTCCCTCTTAGGCAGTAGTGTCCACCACTGCCTGTTGTAAGGTACATGACATCTCAGAGGAAGCCTTCCTTTCTTGTCCATCAAAAATGGGTGCGCCAAAGCCCGGAGTTTCCTAAAGTTCAGTTCCGTTGCACTAAGCCCAATGCACAGCTCAGCCCCCAACTCTGTCTGGCGGTTCCAGGGTGACTCTGGAGGACCCCTCAACTGCCCCACTGAGGAGGGCAACTGGCAAGTCCATGGGGTGACCAGCTTCGTTTCTGCCCTGGGCTGCAACACCCTCAAGAAGCCCACGGTGTTCACACGAGTCTCAGATTTCACTGACTGGATCGAGGAGGTGAGCTGGGGGAGAGGTTCAGGGAGGGTCCCGGGATCCAGGGGCAGCAGAGGCTTCTTCCTATAGGCGCTGTGGGGGGGTGCTCCACAGGGACAGATGTTTTCTGCTGACCCAGAGACCTCTATGGCCTCTGGTTGGAGCTGTGAGCCACCTGCCGAGAGCCCTTAGTTATCAGAGATTTTTGAAGTGGCTCCTGGGGGCAAGAGTTTCTGGATCATGCACAGAGGGCCTCCTGGCTGTGGAAAGAGGAGAACCATGACACATGGTGACAGCTGAAATGACCCTGAGGCCCAGTGAGAATACAGTCAGTCCAGGATGACTGAGATAGTTCCTGATAACAGTGATGGCTACATACTATAGACCACTTAAACTTATGCCAGTGCTGCCATGGTATACCATGGCTACACTGCCAGCACATTGGGAGGCTGAGGCAGGAGGATTCTACCTTTAAAGCCAGCCTGGGCAATTTAGCAACTATGAAACCCCTATCTCCAAACTTGAAAAACAAAGAGGGGCTGGGGAAGTAGCTCAATGCAAAGGCCCAGGTGTTTAGTCAGCAGTGCTGAGAAACAGAAATGAAGAAGTAGAAAAGAGTCTGACGAGGTGCTACAGACCTATAATCCCCACATTCTCAGGAGGCTGAGGCAGAGTTCGAGACCAGTCTGGGCTACAAGTGAGCGTAAGACCAGTGAGACCCTATCTCAAAAAGACCCAAATGAGGCCGACCAAATAGCTCAGCAGATTAAAGCGCCCACACAGGGGCCGTAGGGACTGCAGGGGCCGGGGTAGGATCCCTGGGCTGGCTGTGCTGCCCCTTTCCCCACTGGTACTGAGATGGCAATTGAGACTGGGCATGGTGGCATGTGCCTCTAATCGCAGCACTTGGGAGGCTGTAAAAGGAAAATCACTAAGAGTCCGATCTAGTAGTGAGACCTTGAATACCTGTAGACCCTTCCCTAAAATACAGGGGTGAAAAAGACCAAAATAATAACAATAAAAAGAAAATAACGAAGTAGAAAAGAGCTGGTTGGGGACCTAACTCCGGGGTAAAGCTGCCCTGGCTACAACAGAAATGAAACAAAATGGCCCAGGGCACTGTGGTGAGCACCTGACTTAATAGCTTCTTAGAGAACCTCGTGAAGAAAGCACTAGCCTTATCCTACTACAGAGAAGGAAAGGAAGGCTCAGAGAGGTACAGTGTCCTCCTTGGGTCCCACAGCTGCTGGGGTGACAGCTGGAGCTGAGCCCTGGTGTTGTAATTCACCATCACCACCTCCAGAGCCCGAGCTCCTCACTAGGCCCTCTCTGCCCTGCTCCCTGCTTTCTTTCAGACCATTGCCAGCAACTAGGACCAGGCCCAGCTGGCTGAGCGGTCCACATCCTGCAATCAGAATAAAGGTGTCTCTGCAAGCCCGAGTCCTTCCTCTTCATTGTCTCACCCTGCCCCTGGGCGCTCTGATGACAGGGACACAGCGCCCCATCCTGCCCTTTGCCCTGAGTCTGCAGCAGCATGGATGGTCTGGCACAAGGCTGTCACTCTCTCCCCCACACTTCCCTGCACTCCCTGCGGTGTCCTCCTCTCTCAGGGATGGACTGGGACACCTGTCCTCAGAGTCCCTCTGTGTCCTCCCTCCCTCTCTCCAGCAGCTCTGAGCAGAGGTGCAGCTCAGCTGTGGGTATCCCTCCCCCTCCAGACTTTGCAGTGTGTGGCCACCTCTTGGGAAAAGTGACCGAGATCAGGGAACCACTGGGGTCCACATCACCATCACCACCTCTCTGGGCCCCAGGAAGCTGTGATGAGCACAGACAGCCCTCCTGAAATTTCCCTGGGTGGGTCCCTGACATTCATGATGGAGATGTGACCCCTGTCAAACACACAGTGTCATGCAATGTTCCAAGAACCTCTGCCATGACTGCTGCTGTGGTCCTGGACACCTGGTCCCTACTCCCAAAGGTATCTGCCCTCATGCCAGCAGGCCCAAGTTAGACTAAGCAGGAGAACTCAAATTGGACCAATCCGTGTGCTTGGGTGGAAAGGTGTGAGTCCTAGCTAGTTTGGATCAATCAGCGGGCCCAAATTTAGGCCAATCCCAAGGCTGCAGCTGCTGTATAAGCAGCACTCCCCTCCCACTTCCAGGAAGGTAGAAGAGGCACTTCCTGCTGCAGAGTGGTCATGTTCCAGTAATTCTTCTCTTGGGATCCCATTCGTATGCTTGTGAGTTACCTTTCAGGTAGTGAAGGGCCTATAAATCTGTCCACTTAGCCTGAGTAGTGCATGTAGATGGAATGCTTGCTTTAAAAGAAAG